CATGCATGTTGTATATTTATATATACATAATAAATATACACAGTACACACTATTTAAACAAAAACTTTTATGCTGGATGCGATTAATCACAATTAATCATTGCCCAGCACTAAAAAACAAAACAAAACAAAAACAAAGAAACAAAACCAAACTACAGAAGAAAATAAAATTAAATAAATTTTGAAATAAAAGCTCATTTAAAATATGAACAAAACATATAATAGTATTTCAATGATACTACAATAACACGGATTCTAGCTAAAGGTGACTGCAAATCAAAATGAATACAAATAATAATAAAGCAGCTGATCAAAAAGATGAGAGAAAAACATGATAGCAAACTATAAAAAAGTGTTAAGAAATGGAGAGAAAAAAAAAGACCTGAGGTGAAGTGCAGAGATTCATCTGAGTCTGCAGGACGTCCTTCAGCTGTTCCACTGACTGCTCCAACCTGCTGTAGTCCTCCCACGCTCTCTCCATCTCCTGAACAATACAAATATATGAACAAAACCTACTTATTATACATTACATTAAATATGATATCATATTACCTGTGACCCTACATATGACAAGTGGTTTGGAGATGGAGTGGTTATATTATTATAATGTTAAATTACAGAACAAAACTACACACTGAAATTGTTTTTCTAAAATTGTTGCACTTTAAATCTTCATGTCCTGTAATCACTAATGTATTAAAGGGGTCCTATTATGCTCTTTAACAAAGTCTTGATTTTGTTTTGGGGGTGTACTAGAAAAGGCTCTCATACTTGGTTGTTCGAAAAACACATTATTTTTCACATATTTTATATTATTACAATACCTCTCTCCCCAGTCTGGCATGAACGACTCGAATAGTTCCTGTATCAAATGAAGGCCCTCCTTCTGAAACACGAAATGTGCTGTGATTGGTTAGCTGGGCCAGTGTGTGTTGTGATCGGCAGCACTCGGCGCCTGCTCGGGAAATGTCATGCCCCTTACCATAGCCGTCTGCGAGCTTCAGTGTAAATATTGAGTCAAAATATGCGTTGTAGTCCAAACGAGTCCTTCGTTGTCGTTTTTGAAAAGTGATTTCTGTCACTATATATCTCCCAATATCTCCTTTTGAAGTGGACTTTGAGCTTTGTAACTTTGCAG